GCATTATCCTATCTGGGTAAGGATCAGATCAAAAAAGGCTCTTCTGGATATTCTTTGCAGTGGCCATGTTCTTCCAAATAATCTTTCAGGACTCTTCAAGTTCTCTTGAAATTCTTGTGGTAACAGTTGTATAGGGGATTCATTATGCAAAAAGGAATTCTGAGTCTGATGGCATTTTTGAAAGATTCAGGGTTTTTTTCCCCCCAGAATTTGAAGAATAGCAAGTTCCTCCAGCAATCAGCATAACTGGCTCTCCCACCCAGAACAGCAGTCCCTGATCCAGCTCCCAATTTCTGTATCCATTTTTAGTGATATCAAATAGTTATTTCCTCTTTATTCTTACATTATGCAAAACTAAAACATGTTTTGATTAGTTTTGATTTAATATGTCTGTATCTAGGCAATTGTGCTTTTTAAACAAACCATTATTAAACTGTTATTTTTTATTTTATTAATTTTATTTCTATAGCTGGCCACCTCAACAAATGATTCTGGGTGGCATATATCATGAAATATAAAAACAATTGTAACTATTAAAACAGTACAAAATAAATATATATGATGCCAAGTAAAACTGTTACAATGGATGTTAAAACAGCCAGGAAATGGGGCCCTTAACACACTTGGGGCCCCAGGTCCAGGCACATAACCACGTTTTTATGGCTTTACAAAAGGCTGACAGGGTTGGGTTTATCCTGATATCTGAAGGTCAATAATCTAGAGGGCAGGGGTTATAGCAGAGGATGCACGTGTCCTGGTTCCCACCAGCTGACATTCCTTGGCTGACAGGACCTACAGCATGTCCAACTTGTCTCACTGAATTGGACAGGTTGAAACAAGTGGAAGCAGAGTCTCCCTTAGGTAATCTGGCCCCAAAACCATTAAGGCTTTAGAGGTGATAACCAGCACTTTGAATTGTTCCTTAAAACACACTGGCAACCAATCCAGCTAACGAAGCAGTAGTCTTTCATGTGTCAAATACTCAACGCTTTTTACTACCTGTACACCCACATTTTTGAAGTTTCCCAATGCTCATCAAGGGCAGCCCCATGTAGAGCACATTGCAGTTATCCAGAGATCATGAAGGGAAGAGGGATTGTGAGCAAAGTTATGGCTTAGTGTGATAAGTGAACCCAGTGTCAATGTCACGTAGACAAGATTCACGTGTTGGATTCCAATCACAAACCAATAATGAACAAATCCTGTTTTACCAGATCATATCTTAATGCAGTGTGTAAGCCAGTATAGCTACACCAACCTGCAGGCAAGATGCTGGTCTTATCTCTCAGCAAACTGAAAGTATGTGCAGCATCCAGTGGATGCCAGCATGACAAATGTATTTTGCTTTCCCCATAGAAGTGGGGGGGGAGTGTTTTTAAGATCAGCCATGTTTTCAGAAGTAAAATCAGCTTCCTGCCTCTAATGAACCAGGCAGATTCAGGGGAAAAAAATCTGTTCCTTTCTGCATAACCAGGTTACTTTTTGTTCTGAGGCATTCAGATTAGGGATGGTGGGACATAGTCCAACACATGTAGAGGGTGCCTTGTTGAGGAAGGCTTTCTTAGTCACCTTAATTTTGCATAATAAAAACAACAGAGTGCAGAGGGTATATTAAAAGAAAGAAAGAAAAAAAACCCTTAATGAAATCACTTTTTCCTGCTTTTTTTTCTAGAGCTCTCCAGGTCTGCTGCCACTAAAGTGAAACCTCCTGATGGAGAAAAGGAGCTGCCTCTGAGAAGTAGGAAGCTTTCCATCCTGAAGAACACTGCCTTAAAAAGAAAGGTGCCAATTCACCTCCATCAAGATGACCAAACATGGAAAAAAGGAGACAGAGCTAAGAAAGTGGAGGAGTCTGTCGGAGTTGGGAAGAAAGTGCTGGGTGTTAAGAAAACAGAGAGCAGGACCTTGCACGCTATACCAGAAGCTGTTGGTCTGGAGACCAACAGCAGCCTCACCCAAGCAAGAAGCAGATATGAGCCAGAAGGTATGAGTGAAATACAAGCTGTTAAGAAAAAAAAAAATCAGCCTCTCAGTTAACCTATTTTCAGCTTGACCTCCTAATTTTAAGATATAAGCAGGCTTATTAGAGGAATAAATCCATCAGAATTTAATGGGATTCACTTCTGAGTAGTTAATGCTAAAGACCACCATCCCCATTATCTTTAAAGGAGTTCATTTATTGTTTAAGGTAATGAATTTGGAGAGGCAGTTTGGTGCGGCGATTAAGGCACCGCGCTAGAGACTGGGGGACTGTAAGTTCTAGTCCTGCCTCAAGACACAACGCTAGTTGGGCGACTTTGGACCAGTAAGTCTCTTTCAGCCCTAGGAAGCAGGCAAAAGTGAACTACTCCCAAAATCTTTCCAAGGAAAATGCAAGGACTATTCAGGCAGTTGCCAGGAGTCACTCACAGACACTCACATCCTGAAATATGATTCCTTATGTTCTCACGGATTTGGAACATCAAAAGATTGCATTTTGTGGTCACCTACTTTGAATGGCTCTTAATGTTTACAATTAAGACGCTGCTGGTTTTCTAATCTGCTTTAATTATTGTGCTTGAATACAAAATCAAAGACTTTTGGTTCTTTGGGATCAATTAGTTGGAAAAGGGGAAATGATTTCATATATCTAGACTTGCCAGTTGCCTGGCAAGTGGGCAGCTATGTAACTGGAACAAACTAACAAATAAATAAATGAGAGAGGCTTGTTTGTACATGAATCAGAAATAAACTCAACACAGAACAATCACAGCAATGTGATGGGTGATTGTTGCTACTGTCTAGTTTCTAATAAGAATTTTGCAAGTATGTTTTCTATGAAAAAAAACCACCCACCCAGCTTTTCCTTGGAAGAGCAATTTCCTTGTGGCTGATAGTAAACCGGCAAAGATCCAGCACATTTCTTTATTTATATATATATATATATATTTCTCCAAGGAATTTAAGATGGCATACATACCTCAGCTCCTGCCATTCTTTTTCCACAGCAAACTTGTGGGGTTAGTAAATTGAACAACAGCAACTGGCTCAGTTGAGTGGGGCTTGGAACCTCATTTTCCCTCCATAGCCCCTTTGGGCCCACTAGATCAGTGTTAACCTCAGCAACTTTCAGATGTGTGGATTTCATCTCCCAGAATGTCCCTACAAATGCTGGCTGGAAAATTCTGGGAACTGAACTCCACACATCTTAAATATGCCAAGACTGAGAAACGCTGCTCTAAGTGCACATGGCCAATTATTCATTTGCAAAGATGTCTTGATTTTAATAGATGGCTTGGCCTGCATCTTCCAGAAATAATTGCTGTGTACATAATAATTGGTTAGAATTCATATCTATTAGCCTGTACCATTTTGGTAATGGTTAAAACAGCCCAATTAAGTCCAAATTCTTTGGACAACAAGCTGAAAATAATCTCTGCAGATCACAGAAATTTATCAGTGTATGAAGCAGCAGCTCTAGGACTTCAGGAACCATTTAGAGTGGCTGAGTGGAAGACTGAACTGAGGAAAGTCATCTGACCAGATTTCATTGGAACTCTTCAAGAGCTATGCTGGACTCTTAGAGGAGAATGCCTACTTAATTACACTCTATGTCCATGTTGAATAAGGATGACAGTACTTAATTAGTTCTGAGATAATTCATTAAGGCTCTGTGTCACCTGGGAAAGGGGTTCTAGACATATATACCTTGCTCAATAGTAGCAACTGTAAGAGGGATTTCGGAGTCCTAGTGGACAATCACTTAAATATGAGCCAACAGTGTGCTGCAGCTGCCAAAAAATCCAACACAGTGCTAGGCTGCATTAACAGAGGGATAGAATCAAGATCACGTGAAGTGTTAATACCACTTTACAATGCCTTGGTAAGGCCACACTTGGAATACTGCATCCAGTTTTGGTCACCACGATGTAAAAAAGATGTTGAGACTTTAGAAAGAGTACAGAGAAGAGCAACAAAGATGATTAGGGGACTGGAGGCTAAAACATATAAGGAATGGTTGCTGGAATTGGGTATGTCTAGTTTATGAAGAGAAGGATGAGGGGTGACATGATAGCAGCCTTCCAATATCTCAGGGGTTGCCACAAAGGAGTCAAACTATTCTCCAATGTACCTAAAGGCAGGACAAGAAGCAACGGATGGAAACTAATCAGGGAAAGAAGCAACCTAGAACTAAGGAGAAATTTCCTGACAGTTAGAATAATTAACCAGTGGAACAACCTGCCTCCAGAAGTTGTGAATGCTCCAACACTGGAAGTTTTTAAGAAGAGACTAGACCAGTGATGGTGAACCTTTTAGAGACCGAGTGCCCAAAAACTGGCCCCGCCCCTGCTCCACCCCCTGCCCCGCCCCTGCTCTGTCCCCCCCATCCTCTGCCCTGCCTGCCCACAGGACCACTCACTGCCTCCAGGGCCCGCCGCAGATCGCCCAGGCAGCCCAGCACCGCTATGGCGGCCACACCCTCTGTCCGCGCCCTGCAGCATCAACTGCATGATGGGGTGTGAGGGCAGAGTCTTGTCTATGCTGCCTGGCTGCCATGTCCTTGGCTGCGCTGCTCCGTGTGGGCCACGCTCGAGGGTGACTCTCCTTCAGGGGGGCTGCTGGAGAGGAGGGGGTCACGGGGGGAGGCAAGGCTGGGGCAACGGCACGTGTGCCTACAGAGAGGGCTCTGAGTGCCGCCTCTGGCACCCATGCCATAGGTTTGCCACCACTGGACTAGACAGCCATTTGTCTGAAATGGTATAGGGTTTCCTGCCTGAGCAGGGGGCTGGACTAGATGATCTCCAAGGCCCCTTCCAACTTTCTGTATTATTATTATTATTATTATTATTATTGTTGTTGTTATTTGGTTCCAAAATATTGCAATCTGACTCTGCTTTTCAATGTGCATTTCTTTTTCTGCAGGTTTGATTTTGAATCATGCCACAACAGCACCAGTGCAGGGGAACATTGCCATCCATAGGAAAAAGGCAAGAAAAGGAAATGCCCGCAAATATAAGACTATGGCTCAGATGGAAATAGGACAAGCTCTAGACCCTCGGCATAGAAATGAAAGCGGGATACCCTCTTTTTCTGTCTATAAACGTGTCATTCGGATAAAAGAAAGAAGCGACCCTGTATTTCTGCACAGAAATGTCACCTGGGTATTGTTGCAAAAGCAGAACCGCTCCACACCAAGAAATACCAGTAGGTCACCAACAGGAAAAGCCCGTGGCACTTTCAAGGAAAATGACAACTGCACAGTGATGTGGGAGGAATGTGGCCTTCGCACTAGGAACAGCACTCACGCACTCAGAGAGAAAGAGGCTAGGCTTCTCCACAAGCATGGCAGCCCACCCCCAAAAGGGAAATTGCAGGGAACGCCCTCTGCAAATCTCAGTGTAAGGCTTCCTGGAGAAAAGCAGAGAACCTTCCAGAAAATTGGCAAAAAGAGGACTGGCATTCAGGCAGAGCTGGCAAAAGGACCGATTACTCTGCGCAGCCAGGCTGAAGACAGAAAGGATTCCACAACTTCCTTACAAAATGCTAGTCAGCCCCTTCTGCAGAAAAAGCTCAGTTTGACTCTTAGGGAGGCTAGTGGAGTATCACCAGGAAAAAGACTCAGCAGCCAGCCGAGGAATGTCAGCTGGGCAGCAGAAGACAAGGCCCAGAGCCCTTCTCACAGGAATGCAAGCTGGTCATTGCCCAGCCAAGAACTGCTGTCTCCCCATAGAAATGTCAACCAGGCCCTGACCAGAACTGAGGATGGCCTTCAAAGCAAGAATAGTGTCCAGGCTCAGCTGGGGAATACCACCCAATCAAAAACTAGGAGAGGACAAAATTTACCTCATAAAAATGTCTCCCAAGGAAGGACAGGCTCACCAAAACAGCAGCCTGTAAAGCCCAAAGAAAGAAAGAAGTCCACCATGCCTTCTCTGCCTCCCACTTGCTTGCTGTCTGAACACGCCATAGCCTGTGGGAATGCCCACCTGAAATATGTGCCCAAACTGACTGATTCTGTTCTGAAAACCCTCTACCTGGCAGGTGAATCTCTGAATCATCCAGGCATCCAATTTCTACTGTTGAATTTTGTTCTAAGTGCTGTGCTAGAAGGAGTCACATATTTAAGCCTGGTTGTGCCAAGTTATAAAGTTTTATGCAAAGTGGGTTCAGCACATTGTGGGTACCTAGCCACTGTGTTTTAGAGAACCACGAGGTCAGTGTTTTAGAGATATTTCCTTACCTAAAAGAGAAACAGAATGACCCTCTGTAGGCAAAAAAAATCAGCGAGAGTGGGAGTGACTTTTGGCTTCCTGTCAGCTTCCTCATTGAGTTTCCTTATGGGAAGCTGGCAGGGAGCATCGGTTAAAGGTTAAAATAGTGTTGTCTCTTGAATTTTGACACCATCCAGAACTAGCCTTGATGTAAATCCTACATTTATTATCACCTTTGACACCAAAGGCAGGTGGCCAGTAATGAGCAAAATGGATCAAAGAGACTTTATTGGAAAATTCACTCTGATGTGTATACTGACTCTTCCATTGTCATTCTGCTATTCGGTGCCTAAAGAGCAGGTGGTGTATCATGTGAAATGTTGGGGAAACTACCAACAATAGGGTGCCATTGGGGTGGGAATCATGGAGTAATGTAATAGACTGAAATAGCCTAATGGTGAAATTCCAGTGGAATGCCCCATAAGTTAGTCTCAACCAGTAGACATTTACATATGACTCTAAAGAAAAAGAAAACAAAGGTGGAAGAATCCTCAGTAATTTTTCTCCCAGGAGAAGTTGGCAATTTTCTTACTATTATGATTTTTTTTTGGGGGGGGGAGCAGTGTCACAATTGATTGAACTTGCCAGGTGAGAGAATGGGGTTTAAGGAATGGGCCAAATCAAGCATCAGGCAGTTGGTATCAGGCACATCCTGTTCCCAGTGCAGTGCTGTGATTGGCAGATATTTTTCCTGCTGGCTGGTGACAGGGTGAAGATGGTGGGCAGCAAAGCTGGAAGACCCAACCAATCACTTTGCCAGCCATGCACTGCATGAACCTAATCAGGGTAGAAGCAGAAAAGAGATCAACTGTGGAGGCAACTCATATAGTGCCAGTAGAGGTCAAGGATGAGTGAATAGCACCTTCTGCTTAGCCATAGGAAAAAGCTGAAGATTGTTCTTGTGGGTTGCTGCATGTGAGTTTGATGATTAAAAAAAAAAACCACCACCCTCTCCTGTGCAACTCCTACACATTCACCCTCTTTTGGAATCAAACACTGGCTGACTGTGTAAAATGTCGTTCAAGAATTCAAACAGTCTCTAATTAAGACAGTAACCTTTTAACATTTCCCTTTCCCCCTCCCCCCCAGAGAATGAAATCAACAATATCCCAGCTGGAGTTTTCTTGGGATTACCTAATCTGGAATGGTTGGATCTCAGCAAGAACAAGCTGAAATCGACCGGCTTGCACCCAGAAGCCTTCAAGGTAATTGGAGAGGAAGGGCTATTTGAAAGGGAAGGGGAAAATGCCAGGGAGGAGTGAATTTAAGGGTTCTTGTATCAAGCATAGGAACCCCATATGAAGATACGCTATAGGGAAAATGAAGCAGAAGCCATAGCCAATGGGTAGGGAACAGTTGTAGATAAATAAAATGTGGCAATTTTGCCAGACTGTCTTTCTCTCTGCTATTCCCTGCCATCTCATATCTCCTTGTCTCACTTGCTATGATATCTCTTCAACCTGTGTGAAATTAGCTCTGCACGAAATGAGGCTGAAGGTGCAGGCAATGCAGCACTTAGACCAGAGATTTATTTATTTATGTGTTCGATTTATATGGCTACCTATCTCAGACATATGACTCCGCATGGCTAACCGAGAATAAAGACAAGACAAGCATAGAAAAACAGTAAGTAACAAATATAGAAGCTGACATAAAACCAAGAACACAGTCAACAAGAGATGGACTCAGCCACCCACCTTGGGCCCCGGGCTCAGCAACAAAAGCAGGTTTTTAGGGGGTTACATTACAAAAGACCAGCAGGGTCGGGGCAAGTCTAATCTTTGGGGCAGTGATGTTCCAGAGAGCGAGCACCACAAGAGAAAAGGCTGTTATCTGGGGATGTACGAAGTGACACTCCCTAACAGACGGGTTCTAGAACATGTCTCTCCTACGGGATCTCATGAGACAGGTAGATACAACTCCCCTCTTGTGGGGAAAGATGGCCCACAAGTAATCCAGTCCCATGACCCAGTTTTCTGCTCCATGTTTACATTCAGAGCACGTCTACTGCTATTGAACCTTATCTTGCCTATTTGCAATACGGCAATAATATTTGAATGTTTATTAGTTACTTCTCTTCTGCTATTGTTATCGATACTCTTTCTTCCTACACAGAACCTCACCAAACTGAAGCGTCTGAATCTGGATGGGAACCAGCTCACTTCAATCCCAGCCTTGCCAAGTTCATTACATGAACTTAAACTGAATGACAATAATTTAGCAGGACTTCAGAGACAGAGCTTCAGAGGTATGAGACCTCTCACGAACTGCTTTTTCCTAGGATAGCAAAAACAGCAAAAAGTCTTGGGACATGGACAAACTCTGCATGCAATCAGGGGCCTTCATTTCAAAATGCCAGAGCTTTTATTAGTCAGAGAGGTTAGTGTACTAATCCACTTCTCTGAGAGATTTGTGTAATGCTGCCATGTCCTAGACATAATAATATTTCTTTTTCTCCAGAAGAACATTGCGCTAAAAAATTAGAGATTACAATGGTGTTTTCATATATTTTGCTAAAGGTATGTCCCTTAAAATTGCTCAATTCCTTCACCCCTAGGTTATAAAAAGGAGTGCGGGGACACATATGGTCCCATGGAACATGTACCCACTTAGGTATTACATCATGCTTTTTAACCATGTTGACAAATCCATGATTGATTGAATTAATACAAGACACTAATTCATAAATCACCATTTACAAACCATAAGTAATGGCTAGATTTACCCATTAAGTAAGCCACATTAAGGAAATTGGATTATGAATTAGCTTCATGTGGGGATCCAACCAGCATCTAGTTTAAAACTCTGGTTGTTGTTGATTTTGAGTTTTTGAAGTATAAAGAAATGCAGAAGTAGTGATCCATCCTACCATCCATCGATCCATTTTCTAGATGTATTTGAATTACCAGCAACAGAACTCCTAGTTACGTTAGAGATGTGGTAGGGGACAAATGACAACATTGGTATTACAGTATCATCACACAGTAGCTACAAATTGCATCAGGCTTTGGGAACAAGTACACAATGGTGATCTTCATAAATTTTTGTAGGGTAGGACATTGGGGAAGATCACTGTTCTGCTGTTTTACACATTACGCAACACATGTGCTACCAAGATGTAGACAGTAGAACAATTATATAATAGGACTTGCCATCATTATACATGAACTCATTTTGCTAACAGCATCCATGTGTCTAAATATCTGAAACCGCTGAACAGTCAAATAGATAAAAGCAGTGAAAAAATGCCATTGACTTGGGCAGGCACAGAAAAGATATTTCCTCAACTGAAAATTTAGCCATAATAAGGACATATCTTGTGTTCTATACATATTTATTTATTTCACTTCTTTGTTATTATGTTCCACATCTTGCCTTTCCTGCAGGACTTTAGTGCAGTGCACAGGGATCCTCTTCACACCTCACATTATCTTTACAACTCCAAATCTGGGAGGTACAATATGTTAGATTCAGAGACAGTGACTTGAAGTTGGGTCCTTGTGGCCCTAGTCCAACGCCTTGATCACAACATCATGGTGTCTTTTTAATACAACAGACACATTAAAGTGTACCCTTTCATCCAAGCAGTGTTAAGCAGAGGTTTCCAGTGAATCCAGAATTAAGAGAGCATTTGTTGTTCTACTTTTTTTTTCTCCTATGACCTCCCATGTTGGATGTGCAGCTTGCTTTCCAAGCAGCTTATTTACCAGTTGATAAACAGTATGTAAACAGGAAGCTGACACAGACATTGGACCTACTGCAAGCAAATTCTGTTATGTTTGCACTTAACAGAGGCCCTTTGTTTCTATTTTATCTCTGAGGATAAAGTATGGTCTAATAGTTCCTATTTCCTATTTCCTTCTGGAAATTGGGCTTATGTACATAACAAGATTGTCGTTTGTGTGACTTAGAGGGTTTTTTTTCATTTCTTCCTTAAAACTGCCAGGTCCTTTGTTACAAAATTGGAATTACCAAGAGCAGGAATGTAAGCTTTTCCTTTTTAACCTTTTTCTAAAAGGTTTTCCCGTGGTGGGTTAAGTAACAATTGAGCAGTTTCCCCCCCTCTCTTAGCCAGATTTCTGTAGGTTACATAGAAGATGATACACATAAGAGTAGGGCTATGAAGAGTTATAGGCCATCAAGTTCAACCCTTGGATCAGTGTAGGAACTTAAAATTAAAGCATCAGTAATAAATGGCTTCTAGCTTCCACTTAAACACATGTGAAGGAGAATTTATTATGTCTGAGTATTTTGTCCCAGTGCTGAACTGCTATTGTTTCCCTTTCAAAATCTGCCTCCCTATAACTTCAATCTATTATCCCATGTCAGGAAAGATGGAGAATAAGACTTGACATTCTTCAATTTGAAGTCTTCTAAGGCATTTACAGACCTATCATTTCCTCTCTCAGTTCTTTCTTCTAAAATAAGGGAGAAAGATGCCAATTATAAAATCTACTTCAAATTGAGTATCTCAAGGGTGTTTTTTCAAAAGGCAACTGGATGGACTATGTTTTTTTCCTTGAGGAAGAAGATGTTTCACTTCTCATCCAAAGAGCTTCATCAGTCAGAACTGATAAAAAAAACCAGTCCAGTTGCTTTTTGAAAAAGCACCCTTGAAACAACCATGATCTGGATGACTGAGAATCACTATAGACCTTCAAGTTGAGTGCATCTCTCTGAGACTTCATAAGCACATCCAATCTATTTTCTTGGCAGCAATACTGAAGTGATTTGCCACAGCCTGCTTCCAACAGGCCATAGGTTAAATTGGAAAGTGCTTTTTGCACTTTCCAATTTAACCTACAGCTCAAAATCTTTCTGGCTGTGTCTTATACTAATCTGGTCTGACTCTACTAAGCTTTTCAAAATCAGCCAAAGCTGCCTATGTGTTACCATTTAGCTGGACCAGCTCTTTGTAACTGGTATATATCCATGCAATGCTTGAATGACAACATCCTTATCTTTTGTGGTAGACTTTTAAGTTACTGATTTCAGGAAGCTGTGGGAGCATGGGGTTTGATTTGGCTTAATGTGGAGGTTGGGAATCAGCAATGTATTTTATACCATATCCTATTTATCACTGCGATTCCAGAACTGAGTCAACCTGAGCAGCATTTTGTAAAACATATATTACAAGTTGTTTTCCACCTGATCTGTGCATTTTCAAAAAAGTGGTTCTACCTAGTTCTGAGAGGCATTCATTGCCTCTGTCTCTTTCTTCCACAGGCCTCTTCAAACTGCTCACCTTGGAGCTAGAAGGAAACCAGCTGCATGATGGCAACGTTCCCCCTACTGCTTTCACGCCCCTGGGCAGGCTTATCTACCTGCGACTAGACCGGAACCATTTTCGGACTATCCCATCGGGTTTGCCTGCATCTCTGCAGGTGAGCAGAATACCTTTAATTTAGATCAGAATGTAACTCCTGAAACAGACTTCCCCAAGCTGCTATGCTTCCAGTTATGCAGAACTGCAATCTCCATTGTACAGATTGGAGGTGATGGGAGTGGTAGCCCAACAGCTGTAACTGATATACTGCCAAATCTTGGTTTGGAAAATATTGACCACCTAACCCAGGCTTAAAACAGAATCTGGAAGATCAGTGGTTCATCATGTCAGCTCTGAAGAGCTGAAGGTGGTTGCTCAGGATATTTTTTTGATAATTCTAACTGGGAAACTGCCAGGGCACAACTTCATACTCCTCTGTTTGAAAAAACTACCCAAATCTGATTTAAAGAAAGAGCAATAAGAGGATAAAGCAGGGAGAGGACTTTAGGTTGCCATCTGCATTCCTATCTATATATCACTTTGAGCTCCCTTCAGAAATAGATCAATGGTCAGCCTCATTTAACCTGTCTCCCTCTGTGCTTGATACCTTGCAAGGTGAGGAGGTGCTCTCTATGGATTTTGACCTAAATGGCATATCTATGTCAGCTAGTGAGACAGAGCAGATTGGGAACCAGGATAGGAGAGGCAAAGGGAAGCTGATGGCTGAGGTGCTTCTGGTTGTGTCTGGAATCATCTCATCTACTTCCAGGAGCTGCATCTAGATTCCAATCGCATTGAGGAGGTGACTGAGGGTGTCCTCAACAGAACTCTGAATCTCACTGTGCTGGTTCTGAGCAACAATAAGCTGCAAGAGGATCGCATTGCTCCACGTGCCTGGATTGACCTCCTGTGAGTAACACGGCATTTCCATTCCTAGGGACAGAGCTAAAACTCACTCCCTTTGAGCTAGGATTGCCACTCCTCTCCACTGGCAAATGTGGTGATAATCAGAAATTCAAGACTGCCTGTTCTTTTTCTTTGAACCTCAATGCACTAGCAGACAAAAGTAACTTCTGTGAATTTCTGCCTGTTCTACAGCTATTAAAGACGTAGGTGTCCTGCCAGGAAAAGAAAAGCTAATGCAAATACTTCTTGTGTTAACAATTGTCAAGATCCACCAGGAAACTTTTCCACATAAGAATGACTCAGTTTCTTGCAAATAACATGACAAAGGAGGTGTTGCATCATTGGTTTGAGGAGGAGGATTAAGGAAGGGGGATGACAAAAGCAGCGTTGCATCACTTGGTTGCAAACCTCACTCCTTTTCTGTATGCGTTATGACACTGCATGCATGTATAAAAGTGGCTGAGCTTGCGTGATGCAGATTTTTTCATTTTGACCAAAGGCCATTTGGATAAAAGCTTTGGGTTCTGCAGAGGCAGAACAAATATTTGTGAAAATGGGGCTTGCTAGCAATCCCGTTTTTTCTGGAAAGATATTGGGGGGGGGAACTTATTACTCCAAGAGTAGGAACAATTCAGAATAGAACATTGACTGAGTGATATTCTTGGTACCCTTTTCTGGTTCAACTGGAGGGAATGTGGCTCAGCTCCTAATGCTTGATGAAATGCATAAATATATGCACTTTGAGATCAGCAGAAGTCGAGATGTGGCAGGCTGCCTTCTGAAGGATGGAGCAGTGATGGAAAAGTTAGCAGTGTGCAAATGCCCAATTTAAACTCACTGCCTTTCAAAAGAATCACAGGAAAAAAACCCCTACATTTTTCTGAGTTGACAATTAGAATGAAAAATTACACCAGATTAATAACATAACATAAAACACAGTATGAAATAACATCATAACATAGCATATTGCAACAGCAGTGCTCCATTGTGTTATGCTATGTTACGTCCTGTTACCTTATGTCAGTGGTGGCGAACCTATGGCATGGGTGCCAGAGGTGGCACTCGGAGCCCTCTCTGTGGGCACACACACCGTCTCCCCAGCCCCGCCTCCTCCCACGGCCCCCTCCTCACCAGCAGCCCTTCCGGAGGAGAGTCGCCCCTGGGCGTGGCCCACGCGAAGCAGCACAACCAAGGGACATGGTAGCCGGGCAGCGGGGACAAGACTCTGCCCTTGCGCCCCGTCGTGCGCAGATGCTGCTGCAGGGCATGGGTGGAGGGCGTGGCCGCCATGGCGCTGCTGGGCTGTCTGGGTGATCTGTGGCGGGCGGTGGAGGTGGTGTGTGGCCCAGTGGGCAGGGCGGAGCAGGGACGGGGGTGTGGGTGGTTTTTTGGCACTCGGTCTCTAAAAGGTTCACCATCACTGCCTTATGTTTAAGCTATTGTCAGAGATGTGAGCCCTAGTTGCCACATAGGTATGTTACGGCCCTTCTCTCTTGTTACACTGAGTAAAATGGGGTGGGTTTCTTTGATTTGATAGCTCTTTCCAATGCGTCTGATCTTACATAGCAATGTTTTTTTGTGGCTCATGTGTTTTAATTTAATTTTAATTTAACATTTAATTTAATATATAAGCTGCCTAATTCTGGGTGGCATATAATATTCAAAATTTAAAATACAATATTCCACAGAATACAGAAAGGATGTCTGGCAAACACAGACATCTCTCATCGTACCAACAAGGCACCCCAGAGAGGTCTGCCACCCACTGCAGTCTGGGAAAAGAGTTGGCTCTTAAGGACTCATCTAAATAAGATTAGGGAGGGCGATGTGAGTGTATGGAGGGATGTCATTCCAGAGGGTAGGCGGCTTCAATGGAGAAGGCCTGCTTTAGGGATCCCATCAGGAGGCATTGCTTAGTTGATGGGCCCCAGAGCATGCAGGATCTGCCAGATCATATAGGATGGCTTGCAGCTATGGAAGACAGGTGGACTCTGAAGAAACCAGACTTACCATGAAGGGCTTTATAGGTGATGGCCAGTACCTTAAATTTCACCCTGAAGCCTACCAGGGCCCAGTGCAGCTCTTAGACAGAGTTGTTACATGGGCATACTGAGGCATAACAACCCCTCCCTCCCACTGCCACTTCTGAACCAGCTGCGGTTTCTGAGAGGTTTTCAGGGCAATCCCATATAAATCATCACAACAATCCAAAAGCGAGATGATTAAAACATGTTGTTCTACAAAAACAAAAATGAAAACCTATATTGTAGCACACATCACCAAGATGTGTGTGTTTTGGCAATGCTTGGGGGTGTGTGCGTGTGTTCTCTGATACAGTTTTTGTGCCAGCAGCCTCCCTTAGCTCATTTGACCACATGGTCCTGTCAGAAAGCATAATTAAAGTTATTTCACTCTGCCTTGATTTTGTAAAGCATCACCACATGGCCAGATTTGATTGCCTGCATTATGATGTCACATCATCAGCCCAGAGCAGGCCAGGACTGCTAATGGAAGAAGTCTTATTTTTGTAAAAAAAATAATAAATATTTTATTTATTTCCTTTACACAGAAAGCTGTGTACTGCATATTGCAACCCAGCTGCAGATCAGCTACAAAGAGACAATAAATACCATTCAAGAAAAGCAAGTGAGGGGGTTTAGCTAAAGGGTTTACATAAACACTCACATCCACTGTTTTTTTTTTTAACCACTAAAATGTTTGTAGACATCAAATCTGCATAGCCCTGCTTTGTCTTGACTGAGTGTAGAACTGTTCCTTGGCTGGGATTCTACTGATAGTTTATTTTAAAGTAGCAAAAAGTCCATTATAGTGATGGAGCAGTCTGCCTTTAGAAAGGATGTTATGTCGCAATGACTGTGGAAAAGAGCTTTTGCAATGTATCTCTGTAAACTCTAATGGCACTACCAGATGTGGCTCCAAATCCCCTTGGGAAGCTAACTGACACCCCCCCACACACACACACATACACTGATTAGTGAAAGGAAACGTTGGGTGTTTTCCATAGCCTCAGGTCCTGGCCAAGATGCAAGGACAGAGTTTGGTTTCTGTTCTTTCCTTTTTATTTTGCCCCTTTGAGAATGAGTAAAATGTCATACGTACAGCATAGAAAAAAAGCAACCCCATCCCTGAGACAGATTTAAAAAGATCTTGTTCTCTGCACCTGAGAGCGCCAATGTCCCTTTTAGCCTTGCTTCTAGGGCACAGTTCCATCTTGAGCTCTTCTTCTCAGTCGTAGAATGTGACCAAATATCTGGATATGGCTTTTATCTCCAGAAAAAGTGAAAAGTGATAACTGTGGTCTGCAATCCTGATGGACACTTGTGTTTCTTTCACTTCCAGGAAACTGGAGGCGTTAGATTTGTCTCACAACCATTTAGTACACGTGCCCTCATTTCTGCCTCGACATTTGAAACAGCTGACTTTGCACCACAACCGCATTGAACGTGTCCCCGGCTACGTTTTTGCCCATATGAAGCCTGGCCTGGAATTCCTGCATCTCTCCCACAATGTGCTGCGGGATGACGATGTCCATGCCATCTCCTTCTTAGGGCTCTACCATTCACTTGCTGAACTGCTCTTGGACAACAATTGGTTCCAGGCCATCCCACATGGCATCATCAACTTAAAGGGCTTGCAGGTTCTACGGCTGAGCCATAACCGCATCCGGTAAAGGGATTCTGTTCTGCTCTTGGTTGCCTTTGAGGAAGGGTAATCTGAGTACTGCAGGAAGAACACCTGTCTTGCATGTCTACCCTTCCAGTAGAAGGAGCTCTTTAACAGAGACAAAACTGGGTTTGATCCCATGTTCCGGGGCCATATGCCTCAATACTCTTTATTAGCCAAGGGCTTAGGTGTCAAACTCTCTTCAACCATAATGCCTATGCTGCTTGGCTGAGGGAGGCCCAGAACCCTAAAGCAGAGGTTCTTAAACTGGAGGTTAATTAACCTGGGGGTAATGACAAGATTCTTAAACAAGGGGGTAATTTGGGCATATTCTGGGGGTATGTAATTGCTTGCTTATGAGTCAGGAATCTGATTTGAGGCTGGAGCTGCCAAGATGTTGCTGTAAAACAAGAATCCTTTTTTGTGGGAGAAATTACATTATTGGAGACTGGGAAAAGAGGCTATTGGAAAGGCATCAGCTATGTTGTAAGCATGTTTGGTTAACTCTTCTCCTGAATACAAAAAGAAATAGGTGGTGAAAAAGAATGAAAAAGTGAAGGAGGCTATACACTCTCAGCTGGCCATCCCTGTTTTATGCTCCTTCCCATATTCCCAAATGGTGAAGAATCCCAGATTGACTCTTACCAAGTTCACTTTTCTGTAGGAAAGAATGCTGGTGATTGGTCATTTCTGCTTCATGTCGATTTATTTATGAATGCATGCAGTAAGCGAGTAGTATACAAGTTACTTTTGAAGCAGCATCAGTCTCCTCTAAATCTTAAGTGGTACTCAAGCAATTCCAAGCCTGTATTATACCTACAAAGCATAAACAGAACAGTTCTTGTTAAACTCTTCCAAAGTTTATTGCTGCAGCAAACTCAGTTTAGATGCAGGAAATGTGCTCATTCTTTCTTACTTAGCAAGAGGTCCCAAGGAAAAGAGACGAAGTTATTATGCTGGACTTCCTAATTCTTTGTTGCAATATAATCTTGCTTGCCTCTCTGTTGGTATCCAGGTGGGTCACAGTGGAAATAGAAGTTTGAACATTCCTACTTTGACCTAATCCAGGAAGAGTTAAGGGGAGCCTTATACAGAAAAACTCTCAAAAGTAGCGTCTTATGGAAGAGTAGATTCTCAGCAGCTGTACCTTGTTCTAAGATGACTCATCAGCCAGGAAATGTCAGCCAGTCCAGTCTCACTAACTTGTGAGCCTTAGCTAAGCCATTCAGTCCTCCAATTTTTAATAGGGCTTTAACCTTGCTCCACATTAAAGGACTACTGAGATAAGTTACAGAAAGTACTGTGAAACTCTCAATAAGTCCTTTTTATATACTTTATGTGTTCCTATTCTTTCTTTCTGGCAGACATGTGCCCCTGAACTCACTCTGTGACACAAGAGTGTCAGAAGACTCGAACATTGTGTCTGTGCACTTGGAGCATAATTTGATTGATCGCCGCCGCATCCCTCCCACAGCCTTCTCCTGTATCAAAGCCTATCACAGTGTGATACTGAGACCACAACAGAATGAAGATGATTACTGAGCCATATGGGGAATTAGACCAAAAGCAGCCACAAATTTACTATGGGAGGAAAGGGTCCTACCCTGAAGGTGGGTGGTGACTAGAGAAGAGGTCTCTGCTGTTCAGGATTATTATCTTACTAAAATAATAAGAAAAGATGAACCTACCTACATCCCCTCTTCTCTATAGTTAATTTCACATGCCTCCCATCCCCTGTACCCCATTTTTTTAATCCACATTATGGGCAGCCTTTTCTTGTGACTTGGGAATATCACTTTTTTTTAAAGAAATACATTATTTGCAAACATATATAAAAGACCAGATACGTATCCAGGTTCTGCAGATCTTTTTCTTTATGTTTATAATGAAACAGACACACATCAGTAATAAAATAATAAACAATAATAAGAGACACCAAGAAAAGAACATTTGAGATCCATAAGATGGATGGGTAGACAAAAAGCAACCTATTAGAAAATAATTTGATAATAATCACATTAAAATATGGAGATAAGATGTTAATAAAACAATCTACAGTTGATAGATGCACCAAGACTCTTCAATGCTAATTTCTCAGAGAATGCAATTTGCCACATTTTAAAATACCTTTGATTCAAAGAAAGATGTATCCACAGTTTAACAAGAATACATTTGACAGGTAACAGAAGAAATTGAGCTAATGTCTTGTTATTGCAGTCGTTTATGTGTCCTGAGATTTATAGAAGATAAACCTACAAGAGGAATAATTGTCCAAGGTACGGTAGTTTAATTGTTTTCCCACTTTCTTTTAAGACAACATATATAGTTAAACCTATTGCCCTTTCTAGTAACCGTTTGATCACACTACCCTCCAGAACAGTCTAAAAAAAGTTTAGATTAATACCCAGTAGATCATCAATTTAATTTAGCAACCTTCGGATTAATTGCTCAAAATGTGTTGGAACAAGAAAGCTGCTGCCGTTGGCACTGTCTGGTGCCTAATGCATTGCTCACCCTGCCATCTCTTAGTTGGCAATCCACAGAAGAGCTCAATTGTGCAATCATTCTGGCCCCGGTGCTTCTAGGTACTGATCGTCACTCACCATATGGCCTCTTGGCTGTAGCTCATTTTTTGCAAGCTACCCTGCCACATGTGTGATCAGCTGCAACTCAAATTCTCCTTTTTCTTCTTCTTTTTTGTATACACACGTCCCTTTTGGGGGCCCCAAATGAACATTTAATAGACATTTGGTTTCAGTGGACATCTCTCCCCCCACCCCACTCCACCCCATTAGTACATTACATCAAGGGCTTAGTATAATGTAATTTGAATGGGAGTAATATAATCTGTGAATTGTTTTTTATGGCCAATTCTTGATGAATCATCAAAACAGATTAGAAGGGACTTTCATGCTCTAAAGAATTCCAAGCTGATTCATCAAGTTCAGTTCCCAAATCTCTTTTTCTACTTTTTGCAAACTTTCAAGGCAGCCTGTCGTATTTGATATAAGAGGTCTGCATGA